TTGAACGAGTCATGTTTGCATGGTGTATGGCGAAATGGGAAAAGTAGATTTGAAGAATATTTGACAAGCCGCTTGTGTGGTGTATTTCGCTCTTAAGATTGCACAAGTGTGCCACGCTGTAACGGTACCCAATGCCGGCAGTGCGTGCAACAAGTATTTTTATATATACAGAAATGCGAAAGGACAGCATATGTGGTCAGTTGAAGGTTTGAGAGCGAGTGCAGCACAAGTCTATGCGTAAAATATGCGTATGTGGTGAACATCAAATTAAAATCTGTCAAATCTGTCATTGAAATTTAATTTACTCCTTGTATTTTCTTTAATACAGTGAAATTGAAATTTCTTGTAAAATTTTGTATTTGTATTATGTACAATTTACGCATAGTTGGTCTTAACGTAGGATGGAAGGACGTTATGGTTCTAGGATTAAAGAAAACTTAAAAAATCACAAAAACTATCATTAATAGCAAATAACCCTTTCTGCTTTACTTGTGTTATAGTGTATCTAATAAACTGTTTTAATACTAGAAATGGCGTGTCTTGTGTCCAATAATGTTTTTAGGCAACCCCAAAAGCAGTGTCACACGATTGGACATTTGCCCAAAGTTTGGTGCGAATTGTATCCCAATCGTGTGAATGCACAATTATTTTTGTTTATCGCAATCACGAAAACCGTTTGTTAATTTTTTCAATAGAAGTTCGAGGTATTGTAATAATCGGTTGACTACAAAAAAAAATTGTCGCGTTTTTGTAGCAATAAGCCAATTAAAAAATTGTACAAATCTGTACAAATGTATCAATCGTGTGACACTGCTTTAAGTTGTGATTTTTTAAGAATTGTAGAACTATTTCTTTCCTCCCCTCAAATTTCACCCACCTGTCGCTCCATCTGGCCCATTCAACTGCCGCTTTTGACCCGGACGACTGGCCCACACAATCTTGTTGCCAGCCGAGCCGGCTGCGGCTGCTGCGGCCGCCATTGCCGCCGCAGCATCGGCACCACTAACGGTGGTACCTGCACCTGACGCAGTATTCGTCGTGCCACCACTTATTTGACGCCACACAATTTGTTGTGTTGGTTGATGCACAAGTTGCTGCTGCTGCTGTTGTTGCGCTTGGCGTGTCGTTGTTGTAACAATAAGTGGCGTAGTGCCACCCGAAACTGACGGCGACGACAAATGTTGTACAGTGCCACCGCTGTTGTTGGTGCTAGTCAAATGCTGCATAGTACCACCGCTAATATTGTGCACAGCCACTTGATGTCCACCCGCCGTACTGATGATGTTGACACCAGAACCCGTGGTGCTCATAGGCGATGCCGTGACGCCATTACCATCGATAGTTAGTATATTTGTAGTACTACCTGACGTCACTGTCTGACTTGCGGACGCACCTCCATCACTATTGTTTTCCAGCTTCATATTGGACAGCGTAATAACCGATGCAGGCGCTGTGTTTGCGGACGACTGGCTGTTAGGAACTTGCGATGCAGATAGGGTAGCGGTACCGCTGCTGATTGTGGGTGTGGCTTTTTGTATGTAAATTTTTTGTGTGCCACCCATGATGCTGCCGTCTGCCGCCGAGGTGGTGGTATAGATAGTGTGATTTCCTGTCGCTGTGGCGCCAATTGGTGTGAGTGTAGGCTGGCGAAGTGCCGTGGTCGTAACAGTTGTGGTGCCGGCATTTGTTGGCGTTGCCGATACATATTGAGTTATGACCGGCCCGCCGGATAGCAGATCTCGTTGCATTTGCAGCAATTGTTGACGTTGCTGCTGCTGTTGAATTTGCTGTAGTTGCTGCATGACGTTCTGTAGACGGGGTTGTCGTAGCTGCAATATTTGATGTTGCTGCTGTTGTTGCTGCTGCACTTGGACATGCTGGTATTGCTGCTGTTGCTGCAATGGTGGCACGTTCGTTGAAGTTACCGTTATAATATCACCAACTGCAGCCACCTCCTGCAGCTGCACTTGTGGCTGATGCTGATGCTGCTGCTGCTGCTGTTGCTGTTGCTGTGTAATTAACTGCTGCTGCATATGCAGCTGTGGCTGACGGTGTACCACTCCGGACGTGGCAACAAGCTGTGGCTGCACGCTGTTCGTAATGAAATGCGGTATGCTTGCGACAGTTGTGGCACCGCCACCAAGACTAACGCCAGCTGCAGCCGTATTTTGCAATATTTGCGCGGGTATAGTGCTTAACGAAGTTGTCACCTGCTGTTGTGCGGTTACTAAGCCACCAACACTAGGCGTTGCTGGGTCGGACAAATCGTCTACGGGCTCTGTCTTTATAATTGCATTAGTAGGCGCTGCTGACGTTGTAGTCTCTGACTCTTCAGCTAGGTCGGCGGGCTCTACTTTTGGTTGCACTTTTTGGAAAAACACTTCGTCAGGAAGTGTGCTAGTGGCATCCGTTGTGTTGAAACTTGTGCCGCCATATATTGCACAGCCACTGCGCCACTTGCCGCCACAACCACCACCGGTGCTGCCTTTAGTGCGTGAAGCACGTCTGCCTTCCTTATGCTTCGACGATTTCCCCTCGATGCATGCCAGTAAGTCAGTCTCCACATCAGCAGCTACTTCATCAACTTCTGCTTCACCTTCGAGTATGCCATTCCAAAAATTTGTAGCCTGATTCAGAGTCTTAATGTCGTCACATTCCTTCAGTATGTTCACGAGCATATTTTCATCCGTTTCATCGCCGTCGCCCAAAAGATTTATATCGGTTAGCGAGTCACCGCTCAAATTGAAGTCAATGGCCGAGTTCGAATTGCCTGCTGCGCCAACGTCAGGACTCTTGCTACTGCCGCGCGTCACTTCTGGCGCATAGTAAGTCTGTAGAAGCTGCACATCTGGTTCGAGTTCAGCATACTTGAAACTACTACTTACGAAGAGCGCATCGTCGGAATGTGTATCCCACAGACTGTTCAACGTCTGCTCAGTGTTTTTTTGCGTGCGCAGAGTTCTCTTTGACTCAACACTATCACACGGCAACCGCAGCATTTCGACGGCTATAGGAGTCTGCTGCGTCCACTCGACCAGTGGCTCCGAGGGCGACAACTTGCAATCACTACTATCAGACAGGTCATCGGTTGGCGTCTTCGGGCGAAAATGCAACCAATCCCTGCGTATTTCGGAGAGCAGTTCATTGCAAACATCCAACCGCTGACTTGAAGTCGGCGAAAGACTGCCACCGTAATCGTACTTGTCACCATCGAATGTGGTGGGCAAGGTGTCGTCGATTAAGACATTGATGCCACTGCTGCATGGAACATCGCCGGCAAGCTGCTGACACTTCAATTTGTTATTGAACTGCAAAGACTGGCGGTGCTGCTGGCGTATGACATCGGGCAACTGATTTAGCGGCGTTGACATATCCTCATCGTCGATGCTGGCATGCGCATAATTTGCAGAATTAAATTTCGTTGTGCTAGTTGTTAGCGATGCATGCGACGCGGCAGCATCATCGTCCAGTGGCTCCTTCTTCACAGTGTGTCTGATTAGACTGCTCAATTGCGCCAAATTCACATTCTCCTCGTCTTCCAACACTTGCATAGCTGAAGTGGATGTGGTGTCCGTTAACGCAGATGCAGATTTCTTTATGCTGCTCAATGGTTCATTCGAATCGTCGGCTGAAGCACCGCCGCTTGTGCAATCTATTAGTTCTTGTTTGATGGCTTTTGTTAATGGTGCTGCTGACGACATGGACATTGTTGAAGTGGCGGTCGTTGTCGACGACGCCGCTCCTACGGTAGCTGCCACCGCTGGTTCTGAGACCGTCGCTGCCGCCAATGAGCCTGGGCTGGTGGTGCCTTCGCTTTTTATCACATTGAATTTATCTCTAACGCCTACATTCTTATTTATATTACTACTACTATTGTTGTTGTTGTTGTAGTTAATTAAATTGTTATTGGAACGATTTGGCCACGGTTGTTGTTGCTGCTGCTGCTGCCGCTCCAAGTCGACGACAACTTCATCGGACACGTCATCGCCATTCAGCTTTTCACGTTTCACTTTTTCGCTCAGCAAGAAGCTGCTTATGCTATTCATGCTATTCTCATCAATCAACTTGGACAGCTGATGAAGCAAACGACGTGGCAATTCCTCTTTTGCCGACGGAACCTTTTGAGTCGCAGTCACTGACTTTGTATCCACCACGACGCTGTCGGTGTTATTGAAGCGTTGCCGTTTTACGCACTCGCCGTCACCGCCACCCTCTTCAATGGCCTTTTGGCGTTGCAGTCGACGCCGTCGTCGTTTCTGCTGCAAGCGCATACGTTGACGTTGCCGCTGTCGTAACAACGTCATGGACGAAATGTAGTTGGCATCGCGTGAAATATTCACATCTGTATGCAAAGCCTCCTCATAGTCGTCGTCATCAAAGTCGGCCTCAACACCATCATCGTCACTGACTTGCGCGGCGTTAGCATCGATTTTGATTGGCGACACATCTATTGCCACGTCGATGGGCTCGACTTTGATCGTTGTGTTGGCGGGTAGTTGTGATGCAGGCAATAATGTCGTCGTGGAGGTGCTGGCGATTGTGATGGCAGCTGGGCCAACTGCGTTACCTATGTTGGACGGCGGCGGCAGGTCAACAACCGTGGGTGGCGAGGCGGGTTTCACAGGCTCTTTTTTGATATTTGAGCATTTCGTCGCTAACGCAGTGGTATCGCTTTCAAATATCGTGTAATCGAGCTGTGACCAAAAATCATCCATATCTGTGGCTATGCGATCAAGAGCAACACGGCCACCACGCCCCATGCGACGTCTGGCGAAACCAATGCAACGAGGTCTGAAATAAAGTGGACCCATATTATGTAATGAGAACTTTAAATTGGCTTAGAGCAATATATCCACCTCGGATGTTTAATGGATGTTAGAGTGAATCGATATTTCGGATCACCAAATCCACAATCTTCCTTCGATTCCCAAGGCCAATTGCCATCATGAACTAAAGGCTGTAAGCAAAATGAATAAAGACCAAATGTAAATTGTCATTCTACAAATTCGAAAATCATCCCTATATATACATATGTAGTTACATGAATATATAGATATAAGATATTTTTCTTTATTTAAAAAAAATCTCAAATTTATCTACCCGAACTTAGAATGTTCTGGTTTAGGTCACTTGTCTTTTAGTCTTAGGGTCAATTTCAGATAAAAATTTAAATGGCATTTAAGTTTATTGCGAATTCATATTCAAAATCAGTGTTGCATTTTCCATATTTAAATAGCCGCCATTGGGCTTTATATATAACTGAAATATATGATCTGAAAACGAATATTTTTTTATCCTCAATCGGAATTGCTCATCGGAAATAGGCCCTTTAGTGTTCTCACCAAAATTACAGTGACATAAAATATAGCAAACGACTTTTACCAAATTCCTTACATATGTACATATGTACACATACATGTTTAGACAAAACAATGCTCATTTGTACTGTCAATTTCACATCTAATCTTTAGCCATCGCAATAGCTCACCCTCTGATAGTCGCAATGTTGCTTCCGCCTAAATGCAAACGGTATCTCCTCCTCACTTTCGGAGCCCATTTTGTGCGCATGATGACCACCACCCAAACCACCACTGCCAAACTCCTCCTCCTCCGTCTCGATATTGGACTCATTAGCAGCGGGCGATGAGCTGTGACGATGCAAATGTAACAAATGCTGCGCGCTTAACGCTGCACCTGCGCCACCAAGCGCCGACGCCGACAAGCCATTACCACTGCTAACGCCACCCAAATACTGATGTTGCTGATGTTGCTGCTGTTGTTGCTGCTGCTGTTGCTTATCACGCGGCAATTTATGTTTTCGTTTCTTATACTGTCGCTTCTCCTTGCGATTACCACTACCACCACTTGCGCCAGTGTTGATTGCATCTGAAAAGAGGGTGGGTTAGAAAATTAAAAGTGTATAACTTAAGTAATAGCAACATTCAGTGAAAAAATACACAAATTTCATTAAGCAACTTACCAATGGTTAAACTTGAAGGATTCAGGTACTGCGAAGCCGACGCATACAGATGTCCACCACTGCCGGCTGCGACACTATTCGCACCCGCCGTTGATGTAAGCAAACCGCCTGGCCCCAGTACACTGCCAACACCGGCAGCATGCGTCCCCGCACCGGCTGATACAACACCAGTGGGTGTGGTGCCTGTCGCAGATGCATGGTGTGAGTATTGATTCGTATACAAAGGGGCAAACGCAGGTCTGTAAAGTTGAGAGTGAAGTAAATAAGTAATTGGAAGCGCAATCGAATAAGTATTTATAAGAATCATACCTGGAATTCTTCAGCGAAGAACTCAATTCGGAGAATAGAGCACCACTGAAGTCGCGCAGCTGATATCGCTTCTCGAAGATTTCTATAGATAAATGCAATTGCTCACGTTTCGTCTTCTCGCGTCGCTTCACCATCTCCAGCACGGTGGTGGCACGCTGCAAGTCGCGCCTAGTTATGTATGTACGCGAATAATTAGTATTATTTTGTTGATAAAAAAAAAAAAACGAAGCTCAGCGATTACTACTACTGCTTGGCTTACGCAGTTTAACTTGCAGGGGTCATAAAGGCAAAGTATTTTTCTACGCTAATTTTGCTAATTGGAAAATTAATACTACACCAGTGAGTGAGTCAGTTGGATATTGTTGTTTTAATTTGAATAGTAATTTACTGAACTTTTATTTATTGCTAGCCTTTCCTGAACTTTGGGCATGAAACACCACACAATGTCATAACTGCGTGCACACTTCTATTATTATAACTATACCCATGTATCATATGAAGTTCGGAGGCAGCATAAGGTTGTAGTCTTGTAGGACAGAAAAATATAAGTCTCACACTCTCAAACCGATTCCGAACTCCTTGTTTATAGATTTCATGAAATGCTTTGGTTCCACGTTAATTTTTCCTTGTTCTAGTATTTCTGTATTTATCATCTTTATATACGACTTAATACATTTGTTTCAATTTGTAATTGTATCGTTCTATTTCCATTGGTTATATTCTCTATAATTTTATGGGCATAAATTCTACTATGGAAGTGTAATATTCAAAATTCTATTTGTTTTCGCTTTGTCTTTAGCTTTCAACTTCGCTACAATTAAGGCCTGCCGTATCAAAATCAACTAATTTGAATGCTAATGTAGACTAATTTGAATAATATATCTGCCGTAACAGCAATTTGCAAGTTGTCACTCATTTATATTTCGTGACTTCACAATACCAAACTCGTAACTTTAAATCAACTCAAACATAATAAACTATAGCTGTAAATATATTTACACGCTTTATGTTGCAAAAAAAAAAAAACTAAACTAAAGTATTTTCGTACGCACCTCAGCTTGAGCATCTTCTCATAGGACGTTTCATCATTTTTGCGATTCTTTCGCGTTTGCATCTTTTCGGTGCGTCGGCGAAATGCTAAGTACGGATTGTTCGAAGATGAGCCCGGACGATTCTCCGTTTTCACAGTCAGTATCAGCGGGTGTTGCTGTATTATTGCAAGTTTTAATTTAGCAAAATTCAATTTTTTGTTTTGTATTTTGAATTTCAATTTAGAACCAAAATATATGTATGAAGGTACAAAATGTGCATCATATAAGTACTGGCACATTCTCTATTACTTTTACTCTATTTTCTTTATCTAAATATGATCATTACCATTTTCAAACGTTTATTAAGCCAGTAATCGTAAACGGCAATGCTGACTTCATCGTCCTGCTTAAGCAGTGCCTTCGCCTCATTTAGCTTAACGACCATTTGCCCTGAACTCTTCTCTAGCCGATCCATCATCTGCTCGAACTTCAGTGGTGTCAGATCAAGACGTCGACTCTGTTGGCTTATCCAAACTTCATCGCCGCTATCCATATCGTAATCTGGTACATCTTGCTCGAGACCCAGCGCTATAAAATTGACAATTG